TCACTGCTGTGCTAATTTGTGCCTTTATCAACCCAACCCAACTTTATCTTAATGTTACACTAAGTTAATGCTAACCTCTTTTCCCTACGTGTATCGCCTTGTGGTGTTAAAAGGATATTAAAAGTCTTTTAAAGTAAATTTCATTCATTCTCTCTGAGCTTTACCATTCCTCCACATTATATGAAAGTCGCACTAATGTGATATAATTTGGATTATTTTGCTGTAAATATATGTGAGTGCACAAATAATGTCAACATTGTGTTCACACGAGGTGCAGTGCAGGAATGCATGCAAAAAATCACACGTTTTCCAGCACAGGAGAAAAACATGCTGCCTTTTGCAGTTCTGCATGGGTGCCAATAACACCCTCAGACTTCTAGCAAATGCATGCAGTTTCATATTGTGTGGTTGCATGGCACGGTTTTAAAATCGTGCTGCACCTTTTTTGCACTTTTCACTTGCAGAGGGCAGCCCACTGAAATTAATGGGCTGCCCTACAATGAGATGTGCAGGAACAGAAACGTGTAAAAAGCATGGGTGCTGGGGCTCACATCATTGTTTGAATAAGCCTTCAAGTTGAAAATTGTAAGTAACAGTTTTTTAATCATATCTTTTACTGCAATGGGCACAAATCAGGTCTCTTACCCTGCCAGATAAGGCTGTGCTGGCAGAGCTGTGTAATCTCAAGACTGGATGGACAAGAATACAAATCCTTTCACAGGTAACACAGCTCTATTTGTATTTCATCTGTAGTTAGCTGCTTGCTTTGCGTTTACTTTGATATACTACAAAAAAAAATATCATTCATCTGGGCTTTTTTGAGTTCCTTATGTGAAAGGCTCTGTATGTTGTACATGAGAAAATAAGTTCTCTATTAGCTGTTATCTCTATCTGGAAAAGTAAACTTTAAGCAGACTCTGTAAAACTTCATCATTTGATGTGCTGAGATGCAATAGCAAGTTAACCGGGGGCATAGCGTCTTAATGGTTTTCTTTAGCCCGTGTTTATCCTCCTGGATTAGGTAGGCAGGCAGTGATGTATAGTGCCTCTTGTTTGAGGCTGCAGAAGGCTTTTGCCTGGCGTTTATCCAAATCAGCAATCCCCCCCACTGGAGCCAGCATGAAGTTATGGGCCATGTTTCTGTATTCCGCCACAGCAGGTATCCCGTCAGCTGAAGAAACACTAAACTTGCCAGAAAGGAATCATTTCCACCAACATATCATTTCTCAGTGCAAATAATGGAAAAAAGCTGTTAAACAGAAGCTCAGTATGTGCTTTAAAGGGGACCTGTCGCCACAAGCATAGAGCAATGATGTAATCATCATGCACCCAAAATCGTGGCCCTGAATTGCGAACCTCAGCATGTAATTGCAATGGGGGTGGCTTTTTCTTACTATTGAAATCAACCTAGCAGGAAATCATGATCGACTTTCAGAGTGAACAGATTTTGAGTTACATAGTAACATACAGTGCTCAGCATAAATGACTACACCCCTTTTGAAAAGTAAGATTTTAATCAATATCTCAAGGATCTCAAGAACAATTTCCATTTTTAAAGAACATTTGTTTCACTCATTACATGAAAGTAAGGTTAATAATATAACTTAGATTACAAAATCTTAAATTTTACTCAAATAAGTTGATGCAAAAATTATTATTATTATTATTTATACAGTATTTATAAAGCGCCAATAGTTCGCTCAGCGCTGTACATTACAAAGGGGGACAGAACATGTGACAGAACAATACAATACAATGCAAAACATGAGGGGATCGAGGGCCCTGCTCTTTCGAGCTTACAATCTAGGAGGGAGGGGATAGTGGTACAGGAGGAGATAGCTGTGGGGGATGGAGGGGTAGGAAGAGTAGAGGAGGTCGGCAGGTTAGCAGGGGGTGCGGTAGGCTTCCCTGAAGAGGTGGGTTTTCAGGGTGTGCCTAAAGGAGAGGAGAGTAGGTGATAATCTGATGGGTTGGGGCAGGGAGTTCCAGAGGATGGGTGACACCCTGGAGAAGTCCTGGAGGCGGGCATGGGAGGAGGAGACCAGGGAACTAGAGAGAAGGAGGACTTGTGAGGAGCGGAGTGTGCGTGCTGGGCGGTACTTGGATATTAGGTCAGTGATGTAGTACGGGGCAGTATGGTGGACAGCTTTGTATGTCAGTGTTAGGATTTTGAATTTGATCCGTTGCGCAATCGGAAGCCAGTGGAGGGATTGGCAGAGGGGGGTGGCGGAGATGGAGCGGTTGGAAAGGTGAATGAGTCTGGCAGCCGTATTCAGGATCGACTGAAGCGGTGATAGCCAGCGGCGAGGCAGGCCAGTGAAGAGGGAGTTGCAGTAGTCGAGTCGTGATATGATGAGGGAGTGGATGAGCTGTTTAGTGGTTTCTGGGGTTAGGAACGTGTGTATTTTGGCAATGTTGCGGAGGTGGAGTCTGCACAAGTTTGTTAAAGATTGGACTTGGGGCTGGAAGGATAGGTTGGAGTCCAGAATGACACCAAGTACTCTGGCCTTGGGGGCGGGTTTGATGGTGGCGTTGTTGGATGTGACAGAGAAGTCAATGGGGGGGTGGTGTCCAGGCTGGGGGGAAGACAAGAAACTCGGTTTTGGAGAGGTTCAGTTTAAGGAAGTGGAGCAACATCCAGTCTGATATGTCGCTCAGTAGGTGTGTGATTCGGGCGGAGACCGAGGGGGTGAGGTGGGGGGTTGAGAGATAGATTTGTGTGTCGTCGGCATAGAGGTGGTAGTTGAAGCCGTGAGAGTGTATGAGTTGGCCAAGGGAGGAGGTGTAGATGGAGAAGAGAAGGGGCCCGAAGTCAGAGCCTTGAGGGACCCCAACAGAGAGGGGGAGTGAGGGGGAGGTGGTAGCATTATAGGTAACGCTGAAAGAGCATTGTGACAGGTAGGATGAGAGCCAGGAGAGAGCAGAATCTCTGAGGCCGAGGGAGTGTAGTTTTTTGAGGAGGAGGGGGTGGTCGACTGTGTCGAAGGCCGCAGAGAGGTCAAGGAGTAGGAGCACTGAATAGAGGCCATCAGCTTTGGCGGTAAAAAAAATGAATACACCCAACAAAAACTACTACTTCTAGTATTTTGTATGACCTCCATGATTTGTAAGGACAGCACCAAGTCTTCTAGCTGTGGAATGAACAAGTTGGCGACATATTGCAACATCTATCTTGTTCCATTCTTCAAGAACAACCTCTTTTAATGCCTGGATGCTGGATAGAGAGTGATGCTCAGCTTGTCTCTTCAGAATTCTCTTATAGGTGTTGGATTGGGTTCAGATCAGGAGACATACTTGGCCACTGAATCACTTTCACCCTGTTCTTCTTCAGAAATCAAACAGTGGCTTTAGATGTGTGTTTTGGATCATTTTCATGTTGGAAAAGACCACAATGACCAAGGGCATGGAGTGATGGTAGCATCTTCTCTTTCAATATAGAGCAGTACATCTGTGAATTACTACCATCAATGAAATGCAGCTGCCCGACATCAGCAGCACTCATGCAGCCCCACAAAAGGACACTGCCACCACCATGTTTCACTGTAGGCACCATTCATTTTTCGTTGTACTCCTCACCTTTGCGACTCCATACAGTTTTGAAGCCTAAAACATTTATCTTGGTCTCATCACTCCAAAGTACAGAGCAGGGGCGGACTGACAACTCATGTGGCCCCCAGGCATAGGGGATCATGGGGCCCCTGTGTCCTTGCCAAAACTCAAAAAAGCCTATGAAAAAGTTACCAGGGGCATCTCATGGGGCCCCCTACTGACCCCGGGCCCTTGGGCGGTGCCCGAGTTTCCCAATGGTCAGCCAGCCCCTGGTACAGAGTGTCAGTGGTCTTCTTTTTCAGCATGGGCTCTGGCAAATTCTAGGTGGGCCTTTTGTGCATGGGCTTTAGGAGAGGCTTCCTTCGTGGATGACACCCATGCATGCCATTCCTCTGCAGTGTACGCCGTATAGAGTCACGGGACATATTAACCCCAGTTTGGCTTCCTACCTCTTTAGCTAACTGCAGTGAATTTGCATAGAGATTTTCTTCAACCCTCCTCATCAGAAGTTGCTCAAGTCGAGGTGTTAACTTCCGTGGATGGCCTGGACATCTCTGTGAGATGGTTGCAATTCCATCTTTGTTAAATTTTTGTATCACTTTTGCTACAGTATTGTGACTGATAAGTAAAGCTTTGCTGATCTTCATCTTTCTTGTGTAAAGAAATAATTTTCATGAAATTAGAAGGGGCTTTCTTTGTTAAGTAACGCCCTTTTATAATCAACTGTCTGCTGGACACCTTTTTAATGAATAATTAGATTCACCTTTAGTTGAATTCTGGTTAATTAGGATTTTGTTGTTTAAAACTTAGCCTTCCTCCTAAGACTTTCATTGGAGTGTATTCTTTTTTGCAACCTGGTCTTGAATGAATTTGTTAGGAAAAATACTTTTTTGTGTGCAAAATAACAAATCCTGTTTGCAATCAATGGCCCACATTTGTGGGACTATTTTGTAGTATAGTGTCCCATAGAAAATGTTAATTCTGAAAGGAAGATAAATGTTTTCTGACAAATTTGTTAGGGTGTACTCATTTATGCTGAGCACAGCAGTTAGGTTGAAAAAGAAACAAGTCCAAAAAGTTCAACCAACATAGATGGATAAAGAAAAATAGCAAACCTTCATATATAATGTATATGTAGCACTACCCTTTTGTGGCCACTGGATTTTTTGGGGGGTCCTCCTAACACACATTTTCCACACTTGCACGTTTGTAGTTAGTAAACAGTCCTTGAGCTGGTTTTTAGTTGTTTTTATTAAAGCGTTAACAACTTGTATGGGGTCTAGGGGTATTTGGGATGTCCAAGGAACTATAAACCTGAGGACAAACTTCTTAACAACCTGTACACTGTACAAAAAGATGTGGATCTGAAAAAAACAAATATCACTGTCTCTTTAGAGAGCTCGAAGCCTCCTTGTTGTACCTCCTCAGGCCCCAGATGAATCCTTCCTCTTCACCCAGCTGCACTGAGGGTAGGGCACCGGGCCCCCAGGCGGGGCGACAGGCATCGGGCCCCCAGGCGGGGCGACAGGCATCGGGCCCCCAGGCGGAGCGACAGGTCTTGGGCCCCCAGGCGGAGCGGCGGGCGCCGGACCCCCAGGCGGAGCGACAGGTCTTGGGCCCCCAGGTGGAGCGGCGGGAGCCAGACCCCCAGGTGGAGCGGCGGGCGCCGGACCCCCAGGCGGAGCGGCGGGCGCCGGACCCCCAGATGGAGCGACAGGTCTCGGACCCCCAGATGGAGCGACAGGTCTCGGACCCCCAGGCGGAGCGGCGGGCGCCGGACCCCCAGGCGGAGCGACAGGTCTCGGGCCCCCAGGCGGAGCGGCGGGCGCCGGACCCCCAGGCGGAGCGACAGGTCTCGGGCCCCCAGGCGGAGCGGCGGGCGCCGGACCCCCAGGCGGAGCGACAGGTCTCGGGCCCCCAGGCGGAGCGGCGGGCGCCGGACCCCCAGGCGGAGCGACAGGTCTCGGGCCCCCAGGCGGAGCGGCGGGCGCCGGGCCCCCAGGCGAGCGGCGGGCGCCGGGCCCCCAGGCGGAGCGGCGGGCGCCAGACCCCCAGGCGGAGCGGCGGGCGCCAGACCCCCAGGCGGAGCGGCGGGCGCCAGACCCCCAGGCGGAGCGGCGGGCGCCAGACCCCCAGGCGGAGCGACAGGTCTCGGGCCCCCAGGCGGAGCGGCGGGCGCCGGACCCCCAGGCGGAGCAACAGGTCTCGGGCCCCCAGGCGGAGCGGCGGGCACCGGGCCCCCAGGCGGAGCGGCGGGCGCCGGACCCCCAGGCGGAGCGGCGGGCGCCGGACCCCCAGGCGGAGCGGCGGGCGCCGGACCCCCAGGCGGAGCGACAGGTCTCGGGCCCCCAGGCGGAGCGGCAGGCGCCGGACCCCCAGGCGGAGCGGCGGGCGCCGGACCCCCAGGCGGAGCGACAGGCACCGAGTCACCAGGTACAACAGTGGGCTCCGAGTCAACTGGCATGACTGCGGGCACTGGGTCAGACATTGGACCGTCTGGCTGGACAGCGGGCATCGGGTCACCAGGCATCAGGTCATTTGGCTCGACAGCGGGCACTGCGTCATCTGGCAAGGCAGTGGGCTCCGAGTCAACTGGCATGACTGCGGGCACTGGGTCAGACATTGGATCGTCTGGCTGGACAGCGGGCATCGGGTCACCAGGCATCAGGTCATTTGGCTCGACAACGGGCACTGCGTCATCTGGCAAGGCAGTGGGCACCAAGTCACCAGGCACGACAGTGGGCTCTGAGTCAATTGGCACGACAGCGGGCACCGGGTCATTAGGTACCGGATTGTCTGGCTCGACAGCGGGCATCGGGTCACCAGGTATGACAGCGGGCACTGGGTCACCAGGCATCAGGTCATTTGGCTCGCCAGCGGGCACCGCGTCATCTGGCAAGGCAGTGGGCACCAAGTCACCAGGCACGACAGCGGGCTCTGAGTCAATTGGCACGACAGCGGGCACCGGATCGTCTGGATCAACAGCGGGCATCGAGTCAACTGGCCTAATAGGATCATCAGGCTGGATCAGTTCATCATGCTGGGTAGAGGCATCAGGCTGAGTAGAGGCATCAGGCTGAGTAGAGGCATCAGGCTGAGTAGAGGCATCAGGCTGAGTAGAGGCATCAGGCCGGGTACAGGCATCAGGCCGGGTACAGGCATCAGGCCGGGTACAGGCATCAGGCCGGGTACAGGCATCAGGCCGGGTACAGGCATCAGGCCGGGTACAGACCTCAGGCTGAAGTGCGGATGCCGAGGCACCAGGCTGAACCACGGAAGGCCGGTTCAGACGGCAGGCTCACCGGTTTGGATACTGGCAGGATGGTATTGGTTGGAAAGAATTTTCGCTTTTTTCTGGTTTTAACTACTGGAGCACTGCAAGTAAACGCAGGTCTGCAAACGAATGGAGCAGCTGGAGACAGAGAAGAGCTGGAGCGTGGAACAGGGGAGGGAACAGTTGCTACAGAGGGCTTTTTTACAGGGTTAAAGGCAGGATAGGTGCAGCGAGTGGGAACAGGGTACTGACATGCGGTAGATAGCAGGGCAGGAGGAGCTGTTGGGAATGCAGGAATAGAGCTTTGAGGAAATAGATTAGAAGCAGGACTGGGTTTTTGTAAGCTGACTGAGGCTGGGTGCAACAAATCTGTCCATGTCTGCAGTATGGGTTGAACAAAGCTGAGCTTACACAAAGCCTGTCTGGTCAATGACTGCACTGCGTTTATACAATCTTAGTACCTGTGGTGAACATGCAGAATAACGCTCCAGAAAGTAATCCACATCATCCTCTAATAACCATACCAGGGACTCTACCTGGTCGGCACTAAATGGCAGCAAAAATTCATCCCTGCATTCGGGGGTACCAGATGAAACCAACTCCGCACAAACCTTAATCAATGGCTGCACCTCAGAGAATTCTGTGCCCTGATCTACTAGAACATGAGCGAGCCGTATACACTCTAGCAGTTCATCCCGGGTATACTCCTTCAGAGTTTGATAAGCATACTCTCTGTCATCAAACACTAGCAGATATAAATACACAACCTCATCAAGATCCATCCTTTCCATCAACAAACCAAGATGGCTTCCCTGTGCAGCCACTTCTGGTCAGGATTGGCCTTGGTGTAATGTCAGGGCTCCCGGGTATGACCAGAGGTATGTGACTGACGCAGGGAAACGCAGGCTTCAGATATGTTATAAACAATGTAATTTATTAACACTAACAATACAAACATAAACACAGTGCAATACTAAAACATAACACAGTGCAAACAAACCAAACCAACCACCCACAGATAACAGTACATACAATGCAAGCGTCATCAGGCAGGCCGGGTCAATATCAATCGGGCAGGTAGGTACAGGGGGAGCAAGCGGAGAATGGTTGGGGTCACAAGCCAGGTTCAGCAGGTAGTAGGCAGCGTGGTACAGAGGGTCAGGCAGAGGGATGGTCAGGAACGAGCCGGGGTCAGAGCAGGAGAATGGTCAGACAAGCCAGGGATCAGAGCAGGGTCAGCAACGAATCAGACAGGAGCAGGAACAGGAACAGGAACAGGGTAGCAGGAACAGGATACAGGGCCCAGGAGAAACACACACCAAGGCAGAGTCTGCAGGTCTGGCCATCCCTTAAATACACCAGTATAAGCAGTTTCAGGTGTTTGGCTGGCTGCAAGGTTGAGTCTCTGATTGCTGGGAGCACCCGCTGGCCAGCCCTGGTACTGCAGCCCATAAGGCAGGTGAGTCCCACCATTGCTGGCCAGTCCATTCCTGACAGCCCCTCTACCAGAAAGTTCTCTCAGTTTCTAGCAGGGTGGGAGGATTTCAAAAGCCCTGACCTGTAGAGACAGGCTGGGAGCCTTTCCTGAGGCGAACTCATTACCTCACTCCAAGGATGATTCATCCCAGGCTGCTACCCAACCTCTGTCTAAACAAATCAAAGTCTAGCTACCTAGAGGGGGCTACATCTATATACAGTAGATAGCCTATACCAACAGTTGACCCAGAGGACGGCAAAAAATCCCAATAAAGCACTAAGCAGTTTTCTCCGGCAGGGGAAAAAAAATCCTTCAAGATCCCCCAGCTTTACACCAATCCAGTGGTACTATGCCACTCAATAAAGAGTATTTAAACATGAGAAACACTGGTTAAAATTCCTAATGTAAAACCCATAAGTAATTTTTTTATGTGGCGTTTATATGATTACTTTGTCATATTTTCATCACTGTAGAATTGTAGGTCTCAAGTGGACATCTGTATGTAAATTATCTAGTGTATATTCAGACAGGTTGTAGAATAATTGCTAAAATAATATCAACTGCAGGACACGATCAGAGGAACGTGGATACAATGTCAGGCTGCTGAGGACAAGTCTTTCAACTTTCTTGCCCATACCTCTGTTCAGGCTTTCTGTTAGAAAGCCAGAATTAGCGTGAATGAACTATGAAGGTGTTCTGAGAACCACAAGCCTTATGCCGCAGTGGAAGATGGCACTTGTAGTTTCTTTTTTCATAGAACACTGTGAATGATTGATGCAGCTATGCATGTAGAGCCCCACACAGCCACGCCAATTTTAAAATGTGACAGCAGCAGTGGGGGAGAAGTACACCCACCCACTGTTACAGAGAAGGGAGGTGTTAGGAGGAGAAGGGATCTGCATGAACATGTTACATGCTACACCCTAAATAGGAGTATAACATGTAACCTACTTAAAAGGTGAACCTATCCTTTAAATGCAGAATTCCATATAAATGCAAAGGTAGTTATATTGCACCTGAAAGGTATTTTATGAAGACTAAAGTGGCTTTTTATAAATGTTTTCACCCAAAATATACACAATTTTCATCCTAGATTTGAATATTTTTTCCAGTTGAATCCAATTAGCTAAGAATTTGTGATTCTTGGATAAAAACTGGGAATTTTGAGTGAAAACATTCAGAAATAGATATCTAGGACTCTCTTTGCCCATTCTGTATAATGCTGCAGAGGTGGTGTGAGGGATTCTTTGCTATTTGATAAAGTACCCGTCATGTAATGAATGATTGTGTAGACTCTTCCACACCTCCTGTGTACCATCTCTACACTAAAGCGGTGTGTACACTTTGTTTTTCAGGTAACTTCCATTAAGTTTTTTACTTTATATTTTTTAAAATTTTTAAAGTATAAAGTTTTACATTTAATTGCTATTTATGGAAATAAATTAACATTTTTTATATAGGGTGCATTGAAGACACTAGTTTTGCAAAGAGAGAGGGGCCATATAGTGCCTGGGAGAGAATGCCCCCCCCCCTCTCCCAGAGATGTGTCACTTCTCTGATTCATTCAGTTGTATGGGCCATTTGAGCTTTAGATATTCTTTGTTATAAATTTTTGATTTGAACTTCAGTTATTGAGCTCTGTAAACAATTATTTTTCAGCAAGTACAGTGGGGATCGAAAGTTTGGGCACCCCAGCTAAAAATTTGTATTAATGTGCATAAAGAAGCCAAGGAAAGATGGAAAAATCTCCAAAAGGCATCAAATTACAGATTAGACATTCTTATAATATGTCAACAAAAGTTAAATTTTATTTCCATCATTTACACTTTCAAAATAACAGAAAACAAAAAAATGGCGTCTGCAAAAGTTTGGGCACCCTGCAGAATTTATAGCATGCACTGCCCCCTTTGCCAAGCTGAGACCTGCCAGTGTCATGGATTGTTTTCAATCATCATCTGGGAAGACCAGGTGATGTCAATCTCAAAGGTTTTAAATGCCCAGACTCATCTGACCTTGCCCCAACAATCAGCACCATGGGTTCTTCTAAGCAGTTGTCTAGAAAACTGAAACTGAAAATAGTTGACACTCACAAAGCTGGAGAAGGCTATAAGAAGATAGCAAAGCGTTTTCAGATGTCAATATCCTCTGTTCGGAATGTAATTAAGAAATGGCAGTCATCAGGAACAGTGGAAGTTAAAGCAACATCTGGAAGACCAAGAAAAATATCAGACAGAACAGCTCGCAGGATTGTGAGAAAAACAATTCAAAACCCACGTTTGACTGCACGATCCCTCCAGAAAGATCTGGCAGACACTGGAGTTGTGGTACACTATTCCACTATAAAGAGATACTTGTACAAATATGGTCTTCATGGAAGAGTCATCAGAGGAAAACCTCTTCTACGTCCTCACCACAAAAATAATCATTTGAACTTTGCAAATGAACATATAGACAAGCCTGATGCATTTTGGAAACAAGTTCTGTGGACCGACGAGGTTAAAATTGAACTTTTTGGCCGGAATGAGCAAAGGTACGTTTGGAGAAGAAGGGGCACAGAATTTAATGAAAAGAACCTCTGTCCAACTGTTAAGCATGGGGTTGGATCAATCATGCTTTGGGGTTGTGTTGCAGCCAGTGGCACAGGGAACATCTCACGAGTAGATGGAAAAATGGATTCAATAAAATTTCAGAAAATTTTGGATGGTAACTTGATGCCATCTGTGAAAAAGCTGAAGATAAAGAGAGGATGGCTTCTACAAATAGATAATGATCCTAAACACACCTCAAAATCCACAGGGAATTACATCAAGAGGCGCAAACTGAAGGTTTTGCCATGGCCTTCACAATCTCCTGACCTCAACATAATTGAAAATCTATGGATAGACCTTAAAAGAGCAGTGCGTGACAGACAGCCCAGAAATCTCAAAGAACTGGAAGACTTTTGTAAGGAAGAATGGGCAAAGATACCTCAAACAAGAATTGAAAGACTCTTGGCTGGCTACAAAAAGCGTTTACAAGCTGTGATACTTGCCAAAGGGGGCAGTACAAGATATTAACTCTGCAGGGTGCCCAAACCTTTGCAGACGCCATTTTTTTGTTTTCTGTTATTTTGAAAGTGTAAATGATGGAAATAAAATCTAACTTTTGTTGACATATTATAAGAATGTCTAATCTGTAATTTGATGCCTTTTGGAGATTTTTCCATCTTTCCTTGGCTTCTTTATGCACATTAATACAAATTTTTATCTGGGGTG